TCAAGGCATACGCTCGAACGGGAGCTGCCTGGACGCTGCAATCATGTTGCGCGCACTACCCGTGCTGAGTGTGCTGACTTTTCGTACAATGTCCCACTGTCTGGCTACCTGCATAAAGTCAAGTGCTCGGCACAGTTGTCGGCGAAATGTCGCTCCTCTGTTTTCTAGCGCTGTCCCGAATACCATTTTTCGGGCTCCGGATATTCGATAGTAATCAGCAGCGAATATTCGAATATTGTGCTATATATAATATAATAATATATAATATTGGTGCTTAGAGATTTGTATTTTGTTTTAATACATTTGTTTTTCAAAAAAATATTTTTTTCTCCAAAAGCTTTCATAACATGCGCTGAATCCGAGACACCTGACAACACGCTGTTAAGCAGAAGCGCAGAAAGAGCATACTATTACGATTTATATTTATTTATTGTCTCAGTACTCGCAAACATTACAACTAAATGTGTCCTCTGCATTTAACCCAGCCGCAGTGTAGCGCCCAGGGACCAAATCTGGTTCCAAATTCCGTCAATAACATTTTACAACCTGAACAGTCAAACAAAGATACAAAACACATATTTCTGTTATAACAACAATACTTTTAATAACATAGCCGTAACAGTAGGCCTAACAGTGTCATACTTGTTACCTTGTTACCTACTTGTTAAATTAAAAAACTAATATAAAAAAAATGTGGTTGCTTGCTTGCAACTATTTTCCAAGCAAAGTAAGCGGTTAAAAACAGGTTAAATGGTATTCGTGAGCTCATATCTTACCTGCTTGAGAGGTTGAGCAGTTCGTGCTTGTCTGCAACCGTGGACTTGTCCTCCAGATCCCACATCAGCACGTTGATGAGGTGGGAGTTTTTAATGATAATGGGCACCTCCTCGAACATGTGCTCGAAGCCAATGTTAGCCTTCTTTAAGCTGGAAAGTGAAGGACAGGACAGGAGAGACAGAGGCAGAAGAGAGTTTATGTTACAATGTGTGACTCCCAGATCGTTTTTCATCATTACTTACATTCAATTCAAAATTAGTTACATGAAATGTGGATATACCAAAAAAAGATGCGCAGTATAGTATTGCAAAGTACTTGGAATAATACAATCAAATCAAATATGTGCAGTATTGTTATGGAAGTGGAGGATGTGTGAATATTTGGAGGGTTGTGGAGAACACGAAATAGCTAAAAACAAGATATTGTTTGCATGGTGTGCATTAGCATAATGCATACAGTCTGTATGGTGGCTGAAGGCAAGTGTCAGTGGGGGTCCCGGCCTTATTAATGAGGTCGGTAGCAGAGAGGAATAAAATGTTCAGGTGGGGAGAGGGATTGGTCCTGATGGAGCGCAGCCTCCTGCCAGAGCTCCATCAGGAACAAAACCTCTCGACACCTGAGCCATTTTGAAAATGTTTTAGGAAAACAGAGTGGATGGGGTTCAGGGTTGTTTTATGTCTCCATGCTTTAAACATCTGTTTTGTTGAGGGAAGAGATTTCCTTGGGTCTGCTTTAACATGGCTCTCTATTTTAACTTGTTTTTCTACACGCTCTGACAAGAAAGGTTGCAAATGGAGTATTGTACCTACACCACTTGCCCTTTACATCTCAATAAATTGCACCTCAGCCAAATAAAAGCAAAATGAATAGTAATGTTATGCATGCTGCATTTTGATTTCAACAAATGGTGTGATGCGATGGGATGTTCACATTGCACACCGCAAGCAATTTTCGACTAAGTAGCCTAAATGAGTTTTTTATGGGCACCGTTGATAAGTGTGCAAAGCAACGACAGATTTTTAACCACCTCTTCTTGTTCCTCGGTAGCTAAAAGCTGCATCTCTTTCTTTCTCTGACATGGGCCTGTTAACACAAAATGGACCTTTAAATTTTGCTTAATGTCTCACATAAATCCGATTGCATTGAATGCCTGCCTGTCACTAGTGCACAGTGCATGAACAACAAACTAATGTCTGTATACGTCTAATATTGGCTTATTAGGGACGTCTTGCTTGTTTTGGGATCAATAAAATCACTGCACCAGAAACAGGAGTGTTTATATTGTTGTGATTGTCTGTGTGGTAAAGAGCGGTGTGGAGGATCATCTGATTCCGATATGGTCATTTAAAAAAAGTGTTTCGTTTTCCAAGTAGAGTATCAGCTCCGGCAATCATTTTTAAGAGGAGACTGCGGCAGCAAAAGTGGAATATTCTGCCCTGAGGCCTGGAGAGCGTAGAACAAAAATTAGTATGGATAGCAACCTATAAGGTAAATCCATAATGTTATAAATACTGTTTGTTATACATATCGGCACAATTATCCATCTGCAGGGCTTTAGATTATTTCCTGTAAATTATGACCTTTGCAAATGCCTGCAGAGCGATACAAAAAAGTGCCAATGAGGAAATACAGGCCATTCCAGGCAGGACAAATTGGTCAAACCTACTGGACTTTGGCGCACTTAATGCCACGCTCTTTCCAAGTTGGGCCCCGCTGGACAAAGCCAAAGGTTGGCTACACTGTCGGACTAATTTGATGCTTCATATTGTGTGTTGAAGTGGAGGGCTATTGACCAATGCCTCCATAGCCCGGCAGACTTGGAGGGCAGTTCAAAGGGATGGTTCTATTCAGCACTCATCCATGCCTGCCTTTCATTTCAAAAAGGTGCACAATATATGCAAGCTTATGTAACATCAAATACACCAACATGAAAGAGACTTCTTTTTACACACACTGTAGTGGTGGAGGAAATGAAACGCTTTTGAAGTTTTGCATCTCGGAGTGAAAAAAACATGGAAACATTATTGATATTCAGATTTCGGGTCTGTTCAGAAAATAATAGGATCGAGACAAAATTGTTGCTATGAGCGATATTGTCCTTTCCTGCTCTGCTCTGCCCACTCTCAATAGTGGGCTTATTGGGAACTCTGATAGCTACAGATTGGAGTTGTAATAAATCATATGAACTAAAGAAAAGCCGCAAAAATGAGTAGGTTCCCGACTCTGGGCCAAACACACTGGGTCAATAGAGAAAGAGTTCCAGGTAATAGAGACACACAGGTGGGGAAATAGAAGAAATAGGATTGAGAAATGAAATGCTGCGGTTAAATTTTCTCTTTTTCACTGCAAATCTACTCGCTTTTAGTGAATTGTAAAATGTATATCTCGATGTTCTGAGTGGGACTTTTTTTTTTTTTTTTAGATGGAGTTTTACTTTTTTATTTGCCAATGTGTGTATATGCATGCGCGAGTTTGTGCATTTGGAGTATCGTGAACCGCCGTGGAAAATGGTCATTACATTCATTTTTAGCTGCAATTTAAAAGCAATTACGATAAGCCTCGGGGTCAAAAAATGGGTAAACAAGGTACATTTGTTTGACGTGCAAGGGCGAACTGATAAATCATCATCATCAGCGTCAATCTGCAACTGCTACTAAGTGCCTCCCCTGTGGATGCACAAGCCTATATTTGGATTCATTGATAAGCAGAATCAAAAGAGCGAAAAAGGCAAAACATTTAAATTTTTATATTCTGTAAGCAATGTGAAGCCAAGTGTTTAAATGAACTAGTGCCATTCAATATGCGCCTGTCTTCTTGAGCTTTCTTAAGAACTGCTCATAAAAACAAATGTACATCTCGCTTTGTTAAGTCTAAAGCAGAACACCTACCAGTTGCGTCCCCTTTCAATGCTATATGGTAATTTGGGGGGCAAAAGCTAACGCAAACATTTTATGGCCTCAATTAAGTCGAAGCATTACTACTTTGAAGGGAAAAAAGTGGCATTGCTAATACTTCCTTGTATGATTTCGCTACAATAGAACATTTCCCTCTCTTTATCTGGACAGACATACAGAGACAATTTTGGCTACAAGCACAAATAAAAACAGATTTATTGTGAAGATGTAAAGTTCTTTGTGCATGTGATTGTGCATTTCATCCATGGTATCTGTGTGTTTCTCTAAAAGTTACTCACGCCTCAGGTGTGAAATCCTTCTCTTTGCAGATCTCCATGAGTTTGGGGGTCAGCCTGTAGGCCTTGAGGGACAGGGAGCCTTGTGCCGTCTTAATGGGGTCTAAAATGAAAAGAGAGAGTGATTAATACAAATGGTTAAACTGTTCAAAATATCTGATTTCCTCCTTAGGTTAACCAATCAAATAAAACAAAAGTGGTTTCCTAGGTTATCGTTTCAAACCCATGCGTCCATTAGGTTAAATCTTATTTTGACATCAGCTAAAACAATTAATTTATTCAATATTTGTATACACGTTTCAAAGTATAGAATTAATGCTTCTCCAGAGTGTACACATTTAAGATTCCTGAAGTATGGCTATATCTTTATCAATGTATTTTTCAGTGATATAGTTCACTAATGGCGCATTTCCATTGCAGGGCCTCGCTCGGCTTAGTACGGTATAGTTAGGCCTTGTTAGGACTGGCTCACTTTATGCTGCGTTTCCATTACAGTTTATTATCTGGGGCAGTAACTATAGTAACGCAGTGTAGGCGGAGCCGTGACGTCATCTTCAATGTGAACCACAGAAAAACAACATCAGCCGTTAGCTGTTAGCACTCAGAGCTCAAAGCTCCTCGTATCTGTTCAGAAACTAGACAAAAGTTAAACAAGTACAAACCACAGACTGTCTGTGTCATGGCGAATAGAGTCGCTGGTTTATTTATGTCTGTATAGGCCGTTGTAGTGAGTGTGGACAGACGGAGCATATACTGTCTTAGCTTAGCCGATCTCCATTTAGACAACACGCATTTTAAAAGGTTTTTCGCAAAAACTGTGAAATAGTATCCGCTAGCCGGTACTACACCAAGTGGAAACGCAACCAAAAACGGGCCGAGCACGGCACGGCACGCTTAAACTGCGCTGTAGTGGAAATGCGCCATAAGAACCACATTTCACAAGATTTATCCATTTGCTCAACACGTTTATGAAACAAAGTGATATAATCAGAGGACTGATTTAAAATTGAACAAACTGAACAAATCAAAAATGCAGATCTAGTTTTTTTGTCACCTAAAACATGAAAGCATTTTTATTTTACACATCTCAGGTGTCAAGTTACTATTTACAAACGAAGAAAGAAGTCTGATTAATCTGAGCATCACTATTGTCGCGAGTGGAAACAACAAGATGAAGGCAGCAGGGGAGCTACCATAAAAAAACAAATCAGGGAAGATGCATTGCTTTGCTCCCTGCTGGGACTCCTGCCTGTTTCTAAAATGTAGGGACGTGCCGACTGCCATCCACTGTAGGTAATTCGTTGGCTATGGATAAGTACCTCAAACAACCCCACTTAAAAAGACTGAACCATCTCTTTAAAATAATTTCCATTCAATCCTTAATAGGAATGAAAAACACTCATGTATGTCTGTACAGGCTTACCATTTTGAGTAGTAAGGAGGCGAGTGGGGGAGCTAGTAGTAAGTCTATTGCAAAATTGCATTTGTACAGCAGGCTTTCTGTTATATTAAATCAATTCAACAAACTGGAAAGCCTAGCTAAAGTAACATTTAAAAAAGACAGAACATATATCTAGACAGGCCCTGAGGAATGGCTAAGTCGTCCAATTCTATTACACTTGCTAAAGAGAAAGAGGGAAAGTGGTTCTTTTGGCTCATACAGGACCGGCTCAACGCCGCCACACTACAGTCCATCAGAAATGTTTGTGTGACTTATTCCCTCTCAACAGCCAACTGTGACAAGTGATTTGCCTTTGGCAGAGTCACTCCCAAAAGAGATACAGCAAATCTTCATGCAGGCCAATTTTTACTAAGACTGGTTGCGGGACAGCCACATTTGAATAAGACAACTCTTTCATTTCCATAGGAAGCTTGGTAAATAAATCAAAACACAGCCCCTCGGATCCACTTGCATTTGTGGAATTTAACTTTCCTGTCAGGAAGTTTCAGGTCTCCCTTGAAAAAGAGATCAATGGTCTCAATGGGATACACCTGGATAAATAAAGGTTTGAAATGAAATGAAATGAGGAAATGCCTAACTCTACCATGTGTGTCTTTGTACGGATGCTTTCGCTTGATCAATATGAAGTAAACTGCATGGAGAGTATGAACAGGGTTTGTTTAAGTTTTGTCTTCATTTTGTAAATTCCAAACCAAGAAAGTCAATAAAACCGCACATGAAATTTCAGTTGAACTGAGCACATTTTAAATTGCCAATGATCTATTTAGGCTGTACTTGCTGGTTTCCAAAATCCAATTCATTTCATACATAAACAAATACATATCTTCAAAACTCTTAAAGTGCTAAGCTTTATTGTAGATGTTCTCTATGCTTGTCCATTTAAACCAATTCTACTGTACACTTCTTGCAGGAAAAATGATTGTTGTGGAAAACATGTTAACCAATTGCTGTAGCAACCCACTCCAATTTGAGGCTGTCATTGGGAGGAAGCTAATAACTCGCCAGTTGGCCACCTGATTGATTCATCCATCGGCATGAAATGACTTGTGAGCTAATGACGAAGACAAGAAAAAAGAAATCAATTGTCTTTCCCTTTGACTTTAAAACCGAGAGAATGTCAATTCCTTTGAGGCGCTTTGATCCATTAAGCGTTGCATTATTGACTGACATTACCAGGAGCCCTCATTTAGAATAGGAAAGGGTTGTCTGAATGCCTGCCTGGCCAGCTGCCTGGCAGGACTTGATCAGAGGGGTTCAAGTGTCAGCTGGTTAAAATTAATCTTTGCCTGTCCTGGATCTGTACAATCTGAACATGACAACCCTGAAGTGATTTTGGAGAAAAAGAACAGGGCCGGGGGGACTTCCTTGACACTCACCGGCGCTGAAACATTGATGAAATTCAAAGCTGTTTTCATCATTTTTTTAAAATGGCAATTCCAGTTGCTGCCTCACTCTTGACTTGGAGTGAGTGGATAAACACTGAGCTGTTTTAATGAAAGACTGATCTCAGGTCAGTGAGCTTGTAAGACGCTTTGTGTCACCCTGGATGTACTTCACACTTATTTTTCGGCTCATAAACCTTAAGGAGGTAAGCTCAGCACATTATGAAGTGTGCAATACGGGCAGAAATCACTATCATGGAGCACCTTGGTAGCCAAATTGTGTGTGGCATGGCATTTTATTTTAGCTTACACTTTATTTAAGTTACCACCCCCCCCTATCAATACTATCATGACTGATCTGCCAGTTTTCCAATGTCTACATTCCAATATGTCTTCAGCTTAAAAACATTCTGTAATGCCAAAGTTGTTTCAGCACTATGAATATAGCTAGAGATGAGTTGTGCCCTCATAGAAACCAGCGACAGATTAAATACTTGTTTTAAGTACTTCAATGTGCACATATCCATGTAATGACCTAATATTCTGCCTCCGGAATCAATAAACACTTGAAGTGGTTATGTAGTAATGAATCATCATTTACTTAGTCACTGAGGATTTAACTGCACACTGTTTTGCAGTGACAGGTTTTCATTTTCTGTCATGTAGGTTTTAATATTGCTGTCATTTGAAAGAAAGCTTACACCATCTGGGATGGCATTTGTGGCGCAGTAATTATGGGCAGCTCTTAAAGGTCTTTACTGTGAAGCAGGTGCAGGCACATGATGTCCGTGCATTCATGTAAGTGGTTACCAGCTACCTTGTTAATTCTGTGTGTTTCCCTGCTTTCTGCTCGTCACTGCCTCCTCTGCTGTTGGCCTTTCAAGGGCTGCAGACAGACATGTGTTACCTCCGAGCCCTTTCTTTTCCTGCCATTGATGATTTACTCCGAGATCATAAGCCTCTGCACTACTCATGCACCACGCTACCTTAATATTTGATGGCAGTTTGCATTTTATATATTGAAACTGCAGAAAGAGAATATATTTATAAATCTTTTTCAAACTCTCGCTTCTATTTTAAATCTATTTGATGTCAACAAAGACACTTGCGAGATTTATCTTGAAACGCAACAATGGTTTTTTTTTATATTTGCGCTAACATCAACTAATCTTTTCCTACATCTGTCAAATCAAATTACTGTTATGATTCTCTGAATGTCAACCACAGTAGAATATAAAGACTTTCCAGGTCATCCTGTGAACCACACAGTCGCTAGGAGCAGTGCCATTTTACTGTCTGGGAAGTGCAATCTAATACTGATGTGGGTTATTAAAATCTCAGCAAGGTGTTGCAATTTCAGAATGTTTTCCCCGTTGTATGACACAGCAGCATTATTTTGTGGAGCTATTGTGTCAATCTTAACTGGTGCTGCCCTACTCTCCTGGAACCACTTTCCGTCAGCTTGAAACTCCATCATTAGCGGCTGGCTGAATGGTGTGACAGATAAACAATACAGCAGTGACTCTGCTCTTTGCATTCATGCGCTTTCACAAGTCAGTCAATATAACATTTCCTGGTAATGATGGTAATATATTTGATAAGAATCAGACCATCTGAATATACATGCCCTGGCTGATGTTCAAAGCCATCTAGGCTAATCAAACATACTAAATGAGTGTCTTGACAGAGCAACAGAACAAAAGTAATACATATTTTTGGCAATTAAAACCAAATTCCTCAAAAATGAGTATTGCTTTGTTACCTTTATAGCGTCGCTGGGTGAACCATTACAATACAATTCAAGCATTAGTTTTGGTCTAAAATTATTTGTAAAGTATTTGAACATGACTTTAATCAAGTTCTATGTAGGTTTTAATGTGACATGCCCAACTTATGGACATAGTAGTGCTATTGACTCCCTCCATTGCATAGAACGTTTCTATTTGATAAGAGTATGATATCATGCACAAGTGTCTTCACTGTGCGTTCACTTACCATAGATCAGTACAACGGACTCTTCAATGGCGTGCTGGTAGCTGAACTGGGAGTCGAGCAGCGCTCTGCTGACAAAGGAGCCATAGTAGGTGGACTGGTACCAGCCCACATGCAGATGGTCAATGTTGACGTGACGCAGGGAACGCATCATCTCCATCTGGTACTGGACTAAAGGCAGAGAGAGGGGTAGAAATAGATGGAGAGAGAGAAAGTGAAAAAGATTGGAAAGATAAAAAAAAGGAAAACATTTAAATTCAGAATGAAGTTTTTTGGAATCTGTGAATATCTTGTCTCCATCTGTAACTGGACATGGTGTATGAACAGAAGGAGGGAGAGGATGTGAGAAAAATTAGAAGTACAGTGAGCAACAAGAATATGAAGCAGAAATGCACTGAAAGAGAGAAAAAAACAAGACTTCATCGTCTGTTATCAAATGGTGGTGGAGGTGGAGATCTCTAAAACAAACATGAACCAGGACCAGCAGTCACCCTTTCATTCATTATGTCAGTAAATATATCCTGGTGGCGAAAAAAACAGGAGCGATAGGTACACAGACAGGCTTCAGCTACTGGCGAGAAGGCTAGATACATTACAAGGAGAGCCATTTCATTACACCAGACACATCCTAAGGACGCGCAGCAAGAAATACAAACAACCTGCCTCGCCGGCTGTAAGTAACAACCAAAGCAAGCGAGCAAAACAGCATCTCCATGCAGGCTCGCTGGAGGAGGTTGATAAATCAGGGTGTTATTGGGCAGCTGTGGCCCCCTAGACCCCAGCCTGTAGAGCACATCCTTCTCCTGCTGGGGCTGTTAGCAAGAACAAACTGGAGAGGTGAGAAAAAGGATGGCGGAAAGTGGACGAAAAGAAAAACAGACGGACGGAAAGGTGAATGGAAGATTGAGGGTGACAAAGAGGGGAGAATAGAAGGGGATATGTGTGTGCAACAGAGAAAAGAGTTGGCCTGAATTCGACCCCTGTATGTAAATCAAGAAATTAGTTCAGTCCTGAATATATTTGCAAAATAAATGTCCGTTTGTCGCTTCAATGGATTTGGCCTCTGAGAGTTCATGAAGTGCTCACAAAGGGAGTAGTCGTGCACACAATGTGTTCTGCTTTAATTGCATTCACTTATCCAGTCATTAACCAACCTCCTACAAACACAGCTGCACTTCTCGCTCGCTGTCATTTGTTTTACTGCCTCTGCTGTACTCCACATGGGAAACAAAAGGCACAGGTAGTCCAACAATTACATATTCAATTCCTGCAGGAGTGCGGCATGAGGGGAAGGGCTGCACTGAGGTGGCTCTTCCTCCAGACAATAAAACACGGAACATTCGGATGGGGACAGACCGGCAGAGAGTCCCTATTCACAGCACGTCCTGAGGGGATGGACTGGATGCACCAATCTAGCCTTTTAATCTATCCTTTTTATATAGTGATTGACATGGTCAGTGAGACAAAAGACATCGGAAAAGATGGACAGGATAATACAGCAGGGAGGAAATGGAAAGGAATGAGAGGAATTGAGGAAGCAGGGGTATATGAGGGGGAGATTGCAGACTTTGTTGCAACTTCGTGACAAACCACGGGGGGATGAGGTCTCTGGTTGTGTCTGCATGGCTGTGTGTGTGTCTGCATGGCTGTGTGTGTGTGTGTGTGTGTGTGCGTGCGTGCGTGCGTGCGTGCGTGCGTCCTAAACTGTGATTCTTGAGTGTAGTAGAAAAACCACCGGAGAAATGTGTGAA